TAAAGATACGACTGTGGTATCCGGATCCTAGAGTCTAAATATACGTCGGACGTACCCGGATCCCCGAGTCTAAAGATACGCCGGACGTATCCGGGACCCGGAGTCTGTGGGCGTAGACGTGATTCACATTGGCGGTGTTCGGAGTACCAGGTAGTATGCCGCATGCGTCGCCGACCCTGAGTTCAATGTACTCAACCTTGAAGGTAAACATTAGGCAGCCCTTTGCCTGGTTAGGAATAGACATGAAGCGAAAAATAGAGACTACCGGTAACCAAAAATTTAATAAACATTTACCCGACGTTTCGGGACCAGTTCGGTCCCGTGTTCACAGGTGAGTGACGGTCACGGGTGAGTGAACCTGACCAAATTTCAAGTTTCGAGACCAATGTTCGGAAGAGAGTACGACACTGACGAGACAAGAAACGTCGTGTGCCGTATCCGGCCGCTTTCTTTTGTGGCGGTCGAAGATTCTTTTCGTGAGTTTCAAGAGCAATGTTTTAAAAACAGTATGAAACTGACGAAACGTGAGCCGTGGTGTGCCATTTCCGGCCGTTTCCTTCACGGGTGGTCGAAGTTTCCTTTGGTACATACGTGCATAGCATGTGGTGCGTGGAAAAGGCTCGGCGGGTCACGGCTCCTGCCTACAGATTTTTGGGTGGCTATTTTCGGCACCGATTTGAAATCCAAGGGGCGTGGCCAATGACGTCACGGATGTCCAACTAATGACACTTGCGGCTGGGTTTTGTCGCCTCTGCTACATGTAATCTTCATTTGCAACAGGAGTGACGGACGGCACCGGGCGAATTTTGAAAATGGAAAACGCTTACCTTGATGTCCCTGACAACGTGACGAGAACAGGCAGCACGTCGACAACACACACCACTGCGGACACCCCCGAGCACCCGACCACACACACGCCGAGCGACCGACATTTCAAAATGCAGTCGACGGCATCCAAAGTAAATCGTGTTGTTTACGTCAAAACAACAGTTAATATTATTTTGACGTCTTAGACGTCGAAATAACAGGTGTTGTTATTTTGACGTCTGTGACGTCATTGACCCCGCACTTTGGACTCTAAATTGGTGCCGAAAGTACGCAGCCCCCTTTTTTACGCTTGTATATTGCAACGCTCCTTTACATGCACTTACAGACGTAAAAAAACGACAAGGAGCGAGCACTGCCGAGCAGCTTTCGATTTTTCCCCTAATAATGGCATAGAAATGCAAAACCGGTGCTGTACTAATCAACGCTACTGCATCACTTTTCAGTTGTCGAACTCCGGCGTGGCGTATGTTCCCTTTCCGTGGCGCGCCGCGAGGGGCGCAAGCGTGCCACAAACTGGGGCGTACAAATACCTTTCTAGTACGTTTTCTACAAAACAAGTACAACACTTGCCCAGCAAGACTTAAGGCAAGCTGCTCTGACGAATGTAGCCATGGTGCCAAAGCGCTCAGTGTTCAAGGAAATACCACTTCAAGAAGAGATATTTTCTTAATGAGCAAATAAGCGCCAATTATATGTGTATGGTTCTTAATGGGGGATGGAATGTTCCTTCTCACTGGTGATCCGGGAGGAGGGGCTTGCGTTGGACCTTGGCGGCAGTTAGCGAAACAAACGGGACAACGCTTACTTTCAAACTCGATACATTTCAGTAGAAGACATATACGAATGAATAAACGTTGACGGAACAAATACACAAAGACCTCTAAATCTAGAGCCGCAGGCTTTGCCGCCGCCAGAAAGTGACTCGTATCTCTCTAACGGTACCGAACCAGACACTTTACTTTGTCTTGGTTGAGCTGTTATTGACTTCCGCCTCTCTCTCCCGTTTTCCCTTGAGGGGCAACGTTCTCATCTGGGGCCGGAGCCCAGGGACGAGACGATGCAGGACGTAGAAGACACAAACAAGTCTGGTCCTCTCAGACCCAACAAATCACCCCTGGTGCTTCGAACACCAGCTGGAGGGACAAATGCAGACAGACTAAGCACAGCGCCCGAGACGCTTCTAAGGAGCCAAACTCATGGCGCATTTACACTGGAAGCGGATCAGCGTTCGCGAAGCGGTTGCGGATGCCGTTCGCGAGCGACACCGTTCAGACACACCGGGAGGCGGTTGGCGGTTTCTCGGTAATCACGCGTGTTCTTTTAAGGCTTGTGTTTGGCAACGTTGGTTTACAATTCAAAATCCTATTTAATTCACGATCGCAAGCCAAAAGTTTTCTGTTTTGGCACTCTGAAAATTTTCTCTCGAGATGTTCGCACGCTTCTCGAGTTCAGGCAGCAACAAAAGACACATGGACCCGAAAAGCTCGCCTGAGATTCCCTCGACTTCGCCCACAAGCAAAACCCAGCGAGGAGCGCCTTGCTGACTCAGAAGAGGATGCCCCCGAACTTTTCTTCGAAGTGCACTCTTCCCGCATAAATAGCCGACCTTGTTTTCGGGAATAGTGGGCCAGTTTTCCCCCCTCATTCGCTCTTCTCATTTTCAAAGTTGTGAGCAGTGGGGTGGACCGTGGTGGCGGGGGAATGTGTTCGGTGCTAGCCGGTCGTGGCTTCGTTGGTGGCGGACCCTGTTTTCGTCACTCGCACGTCGGTAGAGTCTACTGTTTGTTTGACATTAAGCCTAAATAAACGCCGTATGGATTACCTCTGTATCGTCTGGTACGTACACTTCATTTATTGAGTATGTTCCCTTTCATTTCTTTTTTTATTAATAAACGTTACAGGTCGAGCTAACGCAGGCACCCTGTCAGCTCCGCGGTAATGCCTTCGCTACGTAATGAGGCTCATGACGTTTCTACCGACCTTCGTGGTGGTCATGAATGGTGTCGACAGCTTTTAATAGATCATGCGACTGTCTTAGTGGGTACAAAAGCTGGTATTTCGGACGATCAGGGGAGGGTTCCGACGTTCTACGGGCAGAGACTACCAAGGCAGCGAACTTCGGGCTGTGGCACCCGGATCCCGGAGTAATAAACAAACTCCTACCCGGACCAAACCACTGGCGCGAAGCCCGCTAAGATTACGAGTCACTGTTTTTCGTGGCGGATTCAAGTGACCAACGTGCACATCGTGTTTCTTCGTCGATTTGTCTGCTGTAGCGCTAGGACTACAACGTCATGGACGCCTCACCAGCGACCGGTGCCATCATGTTTCGAAAGTGACCGACGTCACGCCAGAGTCGCTTTGCAATTGGTTGCCGCTTCGCGGTTCACAAAAGCGGTTGGGATAAATCAGTCCCGAATGGCGAAAACGCGCTCCAACTGCTCACTTTCAGCCGCTCTGCAGTTGAGAACGCGCGGATCCGCTTCACGTATGAGGATCCGCTTCTAATGTGAACGCACCATTACACTTGCCAACCCTTCCCGCATTACAAACGGCGGGCTTTGTAATGCGGGAACCAACGGTTCCCGCATTACAAAAAGCTCTCCGGTGCTGGCCCTGGCAGCCCGCCAGAGTATACACATTAGGCGGAGAGCCTTCCCATCCGTAGCCAGCTCAGCGAGATGCGGGTCGCCTCACCACCACGGGCTGTTCCCAAGTAACGGAACTCTTGCCTCGATGAGGGCTCTCCCCCTCGCACAAACTCCTCCCGCTCAGAGGTCGTGAACATTCGGCAACCTTACAATATGGTCAAGGCCGAGATTCTCGGACTGGATAGTGTTCTGCCAAACATGAATTACCGGCGTTTCTCCATCATCGTTGTTCTGTTGGAATTTGACCCCAAGCAGCATTGTAAACAAATCAATCAAGCTCGAATCTGTGCCTTTTAGACATGAGCATTTTTTCTCGGTTATTCTGTATTACTTTTTCACTTAAAACGTATTACATGCTGGTGTGCGTGACCATGCATCATGTTACGCGTTATTGAGCTATGTTAGCGGGGTTATGTTTACTTTTATATTTTCATAAAATTACAACATCGTGCGATTGTGATGACATTCTATGTATCCCCTCTATCTAATGCCCCTGTGGGCCTTTAGAGGTAATTACATAAATAAATAAATAAATTCATCGTTTCTTAACTCGTCATTCGTGACAATTAGATGGAAGTGCTGAGTACTCAATTGATGTGTTTCCATATCCAGCCACTCAGCATTCAAATAATAGTTGACGAGACTTGGTCTTGGGCTAATATAGGAAACAAACCTGCATAATGGCATCTAGCGAGATCAACTTTTTGCGCCTTAATTTAGTTTTGATTTTGCATACCATTTCAAGTGCATATGCTATATTTGCTGAAAACCTAATTTATTTAATATTTCCAACAACATCGTCTGCCTCTACAATATTGCTTCCCGCTTTCTGCTAAAGGCGTTCCACGTTCATAAATTGCTGTGTTTCTATTGTTCGCACTTTTCATAATGTATGAGTATTCACATATTTTCGTCACTCTTTTCTTTTGAGTGATACCCACATACAATTCTCTTCTGTATGTGCTTGAACTTGTAAGAACAACCACGTTTGGACAGTTGTAGTAACAAATATGTCATTATATTGTTTTATTGTTTATTTGCAGCTTTGGGAACGCTCCACATTCAACATTCTTGCGACATAATGTTCAAAATTGTCCCCAATTTGTATCAGCTGGTGGTTGAAGGAAGTTCACTCGAAACGGAACACAATTCCTTCAAAATTTACAATTGAACCACGAATCCAAAGCGAAACGTATTATGACGTACTTAGGAGAGAAAAAACAAAAACAACCACAAATTATATTCAAGTGCAATGACTATATGAGTTATATTTGTTACTTTTAGTACGAAGAGGCGCAAATGTCGTGTGCAATTCAGCCGCTATTGACCGTTATTGAGACGGACAGGAGCGTTGCAGCCCCTTCGGTACTTGTTCCCAATACCCAGATGATGCGGTTCGAAGCCCCTGGGCTATCGGTCACTGGGGAATTCTTTTAGTTGCACGGCGAGTGAACAATCAGCCCTAACGAAGTTGCCCCAATGTTCCTATATAAGGGACTTTCTGCGACGCTGTCCGCAGAATCCAGTCATGGCGTCGCAGGTCGCTCAGATTCTCCGATACGGTGAGTGCAATATGACGGTCCGCGGGACTCTTCGAAATTGTGTGCAGTGAGCGTCGCTTGATAGCCACAGCGAATTTCCTGAACACCGCGTCTGATTATTTCTGTAGATTCTTCCCAGAGATTGACAGAAAACATGTTTCGGTGGCAGCCTGTTCCACCATCGACTTATTTCCAGTGCAACTCGCCTGATTTCCGTTAACGTGGATTCAATTTCCTCCAGGGTAGAGGTGTCGAGTGTGACGTTTTAGACGCATTATAATTTTCTGGGTGCAGATTAAAAAAGGTATTGATATCTACCCCGAGTTACGATATAAATACTGACAAGTAGTTGGACAAGATCGTGTTTTCTAGGAATTTTATACTCTGGTATTCTTCGGTGTGTCATTATAACACACCGGAGAATAACCAGCTTCAGCAAATTAGGTCTTCAAAAAGTAGGTGTTCATCCATAAGATTCTCACTTTGTTTCGAGCGCTTCAATTAAAATTTTAGAATGTCATAATCTAAAGGCTAATTGCAAGCACTGAGCAAATCTAGATTCCCGGCAAAAGAAGAATAAGGGGGAAAATCTCTGATTACTTTTGTAAGCAATTTTTATAAAAGGAAGTTGTTATACATATTGCTTTGTGATTCTGATTCCTTGAACTTAAAAGAGCTATATCGCACGACTTATCTTTGAGATAGTGATAGGCAGTTGCCGGTAAGTTTCAAAACGATTGCATGTTATTACTTTCAATGTTTATAATTTAATATGTCACGGTAGTTTATGAATGCAACGTATCTTATAAAAAATTACTATTGTACATAAAAGAACACAAACCAAGGGAGATAACAATATTCCCAAAATAAGTAGACGGGACAAACTCCTACCTTGCTTACTCCAAATGACTTTAGGTACACGCTGTTGTAAACTTCGCGTCAGTTATGCTTGTCAGCGAATTACGGAGCGTATACTTGCTACTTTTGTCCTACTACTAATGATGCTATCGCCTAATACATCCGCTTTTGCTCCTTTAAAGATTAATATTGCCTCAGTAATGGCTTTTCGCTCACCAATGAGCCGTCCCATTCCGTTACTAACAGCCATGGGCAAAGCAAATAGCTCAAGAGCTCAGTCACGTGCCTCCTAATAGACGATAGGACATATGTGAGCGCACTGTACCGCGATTTCTGTAGAACAGACACAGCACATTACCTACAGCAACAAGCAAGACGTCAGCATGAGTGGTGTTTGGACAGGAGTATTATTTATCAATTGAGATACTGATGCATTTCCCCCGGCCTCGTAGACCTACAACAATGGAGGGTGTGCGTATATTCGTAGTGAGCAACTTCGTGCAGGAACCTAAGTTCTCAAGGAGTTTCCTGTGGCTATGTCAAGTCATAAAAAAAGCGCCCGGGTTCAAGGATGTGCATGATCGAGACACAATAAGGACACAATAAGCTAGGTTATCCGAGCAATGTAAATAGGCGTAGATTGAACAAGTACCCCCCCCCCCCCCCGCCCACCTCCGTACCGCTTTGTAACTTCAATATCGAAACTGAACTGGTACCAACCGAAGCGTCAGAAATGCCCAGTCATGGAGTAGCCGCATCTCCAGTGGTCTCTACTACGATATGCGCATCGAAATAAAGACCTCCTAGAAGACACTAAATCACAGATAAAAAACAAGCGAGATACGTATCTTACGTTAGCCGACAGCTAAACAATACACCCGCGTTGGAATGCACGTTGTAAGAAAACACGGAACAGGGGATTCGAAGGAGCCATAATGAGAAAGAACGACCTGTACGCTTACCAGTCTCTAACCAGAGTTTTGGTCGACAATACATAGCTACATTGCACCTCAACCGATACCAAACTTTTAGTCCTCATGGTCAGGTACTTTACAAACTTCGCTTCTACGACTTTTGGCGAGTCCCCTATCATTTTAGCCTATCTGTACTCTCAGGATACATTCTGACATTGCCGTAACCCTAGTTTCCTGCCAAAGTAATGGATGACTTTTTTTTGTGTACCTTTGTTCTTACGCATAAACTATCTTAACTGCTCTCTGGTATACTCCGGCTATACCTGATGTTTGTGTTGTTAATTTTTTTGTTGTTGTTTTTTGTTTGTTTTTTCATATTGACTTTTTTAAGGAATGCTGAACCGAACTTTTGAATTTCGCAAATAAGGCCGCCGAAGCGTTGAGTGGGGCGCTACGAACTTCAAAACATCACTCATACATCGATATCTCAAACGGATGGCGGTATTGTTGGAAAACATGGGCGCGATCAAGCGAGGAATGCGACGTCACGATTCTCCTAGAACAGATAAGTATGAGGAGAAGTGGCCCCGTTTCTACTTTATCTCGCTTCGGTTCTCACGTGCTCGAGGGGACGAAGCGAAGAAAACAGGAAATGGGAATCGTGACGTAACATGTGTCCTCGGCCTCGTTGGCCGTGCTCTATCGCCGCGCATTTTTTCCAAAAAAAAATACACAAGAAAAAACAACAAATACGGCCAACCGTTAGGGATATTACTGTGGGTGTGATACTTTTGGGTTTTGCAGCGTCCCGCCTATAGCTTCAACCTTGTTTTGTGAGCTCCAAATTTCGGTTAAGCATCCCTTTAAGCTCCTTCCTACTTGCTTTAACCGGGTGTTTTTTTTTTCTGATTAAATAATTCACACTTCTCTTCGGCTAGCCCTTTTTATCTTTTGTCAATAGAGATGTTTATACGCTTATAGTCACTAACCAGACTCTTCGTTCCAGGCGCGTTTATTTGAACCTTTCCCAGCTTCCCCTATATTGTGGACAACATTAAGCAATAGTAATCGTGGAAAGTAGGCTACCTGATTCCGTCGCAATTTGTTTTTCACAATTTATTTCTGTTTACTTGAACAAAGTCGCGTTTTTCACTAATATCCTGTATGATGTTTCTGCCATGTCGGTATTTCTTGTCAGTATCCCGCGATTGAACATTTATGTGTCACGAAATTGCTATTCTATGGCCCCTCCTTAGCTCTATACTATTTGTGATATAATTCCAGCATTTTTTCGTCCTCACATTTAATTGGCTCCTCAATACTATTGTGTCGATACAGGGTGTAGTCGAATATAACTTGTGGCCGCTCCGTAACTAGGAGAATATTTACAATGAACCGAATTTCGGTCATTTATTCGTTTTGTAGCTGCGATTTTACTTCCTCATATTCCTATTTTTCTAACATCGTAAGTCCTCAACTGGAGCATTATAAAAGAGACGCTTCCTTAAAAAGGCCATGAAACGAATTTCGGGCTGGGATGAATGATTTCAAAATGGGACTTTACTAATCGCATATCATTTAGTTGGACAAAAAAAAGAGGGTAGAAAGTCAACAGCCAGCTTTTCGGTACGGGCATTTGAAAATATAGCGGACTATTTTGTACCTTCTTTCCTCCGAAAGCTCTTCGCCTTTTCACTATGATACATCCGCGGTTCCCTAAGCGCGTCAGCAGTGCCAACCTGACGTCAGCCGAACCCAGCTCACGCATTGGACACAAGAACTGCGTCACTCGGACGTATGGGCTCGTCAACGATCAATCCGTCGACGAATATTTGTATTCAAGTTCGTGGCCAATGAGTGCCCTCACGGAACTTATCGTCACTGGGGAATGACAAGTTCTATGGTGTGCATAAAAAGCACGGTGGAAGCTAGGAGTCATCACACCGGTGCCGAAGAATGTCACGACGACGTGATTTCGCATTTGAGTTGAGGATTAAAGCTAAGGAGGAAGAAGTAGGAAAATCGTTTCATGGACCCCTATAAACTTGTGGGGAACAATGAGGCGCGATGCACCTGGAGGGCCGCCGCCGTGAGCGAAGAAGGGAAAAGAGGCTCGTGGCAGGGCGAGCACACAGATAGTTCGAAGGGCGGTGACGAACGGAAGAGACGGTGCTCAGCGAGCCCAGGGAAGACCCGGACCACAAGGCAGCCTTGGCCCTACGCAGCACCTATTACAGTGTTCTAGGGGATGTAGTGGCAAGATCGGAGCCCGCTTACAAAGGGCCGCGTCAAGACTGCCAACGTAGATGCCGCGAGTGGCGCTGGAGTTCCGAGCTTTAGGAGAATTCGTGGCAGATGGCAGATGTGCTATGAGCAAAGAAGACGACGAAGCTCAGGCGGTACGCATCTCGTAAACGTAGCGCCATAGCACTTTTCTTTGTGGTGTAGTGATGGGGAGTCTTCCCCGTTCCGTTTTTGTCTCGGTCATAAATGCAAGGAAAAAGTCGGACAGACCCCCTGCTTCGCGTCGCTCCCAAACGCGTTCGGCCTTGCACCTTACACAACGCTGGTCCCCGCAGCAGCAAAATAGATGACAATAAACAATACACCAGTTTATTGTTCCTCTCACCATTAAAAAAAGTGAGTGATTTATTGAGATTCATTTGTCTATGTTTCCTTGTTATATCAGTATAGCGTGGTTTCTTTCGCAGCTATTAAGCGCGCAGCCCAAGTGATAGCATTGCTGAACGACCTATCAGTACTGTGAAAGGTGGGGGGTCAATATTAATAAAATTATCTCCATCAAAAACACGCGAAAAATAAAATTAGAGCATAGCACACACTCTACAGGCATTAGTGCGAAGGAAAACCTACAATTTTTTACATTAGCGATTGTTCTGCGTCGCGAAAAGCTCCAGTCGAACCACAGTAGTACACCCCGAGCAGCGCCGACGACGAGGCTGACGGGGGCACGTTCTTAGTGCTCAGAGCTGCAGCGCTACGGTGGCGTCGACATGCAAAATCTTCACGCGGCAGCCACCGCTCTTGCCACTACAATTCTCTAGAACACTGCAGTATCGATAAAGTATTTCTTCATGATAGCGCTCCCCGTGTGACTTCCTCGGAGCGAGTGGAACTCGGCCTGATCGGGCGGTATTGATAGGCGACCCACAACCATTACACTTCAACCGGCATTGTCCATGCCGATGCTCCTTCAGGTCTTTTTATTACACTGCTTTCATTGTAGGTAATACCCAGTACTCCTACCGTGTATATTCTTCTCAGCTTTGCTTTGAAAAAAATCGATGTCGTAAATTCCAGCAAAGGTATTAATTTAATGATACATTAGAGTAGCATGCAATCCTCTTTGGAACGTTGCAATCAAAATAACGGTCGGCGTGTTTTACCCCACTGGCATGAACAACGCAACACTCCCCACCCACTTCTAGTTCTTTCATCACTAACGTTTTCTTAATGACTGCTTGTGAACAGGTGACCAAGCTTTATTTCCTGGTGCCTTTAATAAGAGATCAACCGCACGGTGTAAGAAGGTTCCTGGGGTGCTGTGATGCTGCATCTGTATTCGTTGAACTTTAGTCCGTTTTCCCGGTAAATGCAGACCCCATTATTATGAAAGACCAAGCGAACGACGTAGTTTTGGATGGTTGTGCTGGATTCGCATTGACTATGTCCAGAGCTCTTGGAGCGAGAAAATAATTTAACCTTTTGTTACACACTTTAAACCTCTGGATACGAGGCGTCGTAAGATGGAAGGTTATTTATGATATTTACAAAACGTAGATATCATATTTACATGATAGTAAGCTCTTCGTCGTCTACATTTTCTTCTGGGCACTGGCGCTAAATGCTGCCATTTTTAAATTCAGGTGTCAATATTGAGCTATCTTTTTTTATTGAAACTTCGGGACTCCCATGTCCTGTGTTGCCCTATTGGTGGGGCTAGCTGTGGCCACCAGGTATCTAGTCCAGTTTGGTTGGTTAGGTAATGTCGCAGCAGGACATTGGTCAATGAGATCCAGTACGTGGCAGGTCCTTGGGCGGTGAGGTCCAGTCGCGGAAATTACCTTGGCGATCACGTCTTGTCGCGGCAGGCCCTTGGACGGTCATGTCCTGTCGAAGCAGACCCTTGGATGGTGAGGTCCTGTCGCAGCAGGTCCTTGGTCGGCGAAGTCTTTTTGCAGCAGCTCCTTTGTCGGTAAGGTTGTGTCAGAGCAAATACTGTCACCGTCGGAACGCTGTCCTTCTGCTGCCGTGTTGCTACGGCTCGTGGTTGCCCCGTCGCTAACTGGATCGCTTGTGCTCTCCTCTCTTCCTGCTGTTGCGGTGACTGAAATCGGGGGAGGGTCCGCTGCGCCGCCACTTACGGGTTCCGGTTCCTGGCGGTCCGTAATACCATTTTTTTGTTCGCTTCCTCCATGTCGAGGTAAATTTGCCAGTGCTGCGACACCGGTCGTCACAACAGTCGATTCGCTTTGGGTCGTGCTCGCTGGATCACACTTTTGAATTGTTAAACGCTGAAAATCTCTAAATACAAGGCGTTGGGAAGGTGGAGGGGCATTTATTATATTTGCATAAGGTGGATAGTACCTGGTTGCGCGGCCATTCCAGGAGCGCGGAGATGTTCTTCTTTGCCATCTAGTTCTACTTATTGGTGCTGGCACTAACACTTTTCCTATTATCAATCTAAAAATAAAACGCATCTGGCAAACGTTCACTTATCATGGGCACTTTAACTGCCTAGACGAATGGGTCTTTCAATCTGTGTGATACTATACATCTTGCTGGCGCAGAATAAAAAGTTCAGCCACTGCTGCAAAGCTTTGCACATATCACCCCGAACGCGTCAGTGATAGATGCTACTTCTAAACCGCTTTGAACATTCCTGACACTAAATAAGACTATAGTACACGATTTACAGTTAACTACCCTTTCGGCACACTGAGGTCTCGTGGTGGCTATCTTATCTAATTTTGTGTAAAAGCCCACCACAGCCGTATTCCGTCCGCTATTTATTTATATAAAATAGAGTAGTGGTAATTAAAGAAACAGAACGTTAGCCGTGCTACCTTGCAAGCGATGTATGCTCGTCGAGCAAACAAACATTTTTTTTTTTTTTTTAAATCTTGGAAAACGATTTTAAAGCAATATAGAGCAAAATTGTCTTCGGGCCGCATCTTATATTTAATTTTGAATGAAGACAATCTTCTGCTAGTAGACTCATTATCTGACGCCGCGTTGGTGTTCGATTCGTAGGCCTTATTGTGGCTGGTGTCCTTCGCTTAGGTGCCTAACTTCAACTTCTTCTCAAGCAATCAGGAGGCCCTCCTTCGTAGGACACCGATGCCTTACACCGGGGGTATCGGTGGCCGAGTGTGGAAACACACCTGAGCTCGGAGCGCGTAGAGCCAAAGCTCGCTCAACAGGACCCAGGGATATTAGGTTCAATTTCCACCCCTGTTCCTTTCATTTCGATGAGCAGCGGACTGACGCAGGGTTGTTTTTCAGTACTGCGTGGTGCGGCGTTAAAGACCTCAGGCTAACGGTTGTACTGGGTCGGCTAAATTTTTTATCTACAGCTTAGAGGAAAAATCGGCCATTGAGGTCGACTACCTTCCGGCTGTCTATGCTTACATACAGCGCAATTGTGCCCTGCACTCAGATGACAATAAAAAATCTGTGTTAAAACTTAATGTCGCAGAATGTCGAATGGAAGCTGAGTCCACACGTAAACGAACTTAGTATACTAACTTCAAATACAATGGAGTGTAGCAGCCTTAGTGGAGTACAGCAGCTACTCGATGGATGGATGGATGGATGGATGTTAATGGCTATGCCCTTTGTGACGGGCGGTAGCTTGCGTTACCTAGCCTAAGTCCAAAAAGACAAAAACGTGATTTCTCCCGCCCCTTTAAGACCAATTTTTTCCCCCTAACTATCACCAGGCGGTGGGGGATATCACCAGTATGACATTCGGGGGTCGCGAAAAAAACCTGAAAAACATGACCCCCCGCCTCTTCGCCCCGGTGAGAGAGTCGCCGATTTTCCTCTGGTCAAACCTTGTCGGCGTTACCCCAGCACCGGACCCACTGGGATACAGGGTTGAGAGTTTGGGCCAGAGCCACGCGGGAGGAAGTTCACATTTTACTCTGTCCCGCCTGTCCCCAGCTGTGTTAGTTAGCTGTTCATCATTTAATTTTCCCTAGGTAATTTTCACCAATCTTCTAATCAACTCTTTTCTCACCGTAATCCTTTTCTCTTCCGTCCTTCTATCGCCGCCAGTAAAACCCAGGGCCCCAGTCAAATCCGTTAGCCCTTCAGGGAGGGCAAGAGGAAGCCCCGTGCACTTCAAAACCAAGTGCTCTAGTGTCTCGCTATCATTATGGCAGGCGGCCAATAACGTGTCTGTCTCCTGAAATTTAGCCCTATGCGTCCTTGTCCTCAAAGCTCCCGTTCTTGCCTCGAACAGCAAAGCACTTCCCAGTGAATTGTCAAACAGTTTTTCCATCCTCATGTCATTGCTTTCGTCACGGTCACGGTCACTCATGTCCCGGATGTACCAATGTTGATAGACGTAGTGATGTGCCTTTTAAATTTTTTTGTAATTACGCTATTACGCGAAAAAGAAACTAAACATGCAGAGTGCTCACCAAACATATCCGGAATATTTGACCGGCGTCTTCTACCATGCAACTGTTACCCTGGTGGCAGCCAGAGAACCGTTTCATAACTTTGCGATCAAGCAGGAGAAGCTGCTCGCTGGAGGCACATATTGCTGCTACACCGGTGGCAGCACTGCAATTTAGCCTGCGGGCCGATCTCTGCGTTTCACCTCCTTCAATAAAATCAAACCGCCAATGAGAGCTCGGTGGTCTGACATCATCGCAACCCCTGCAAAGAAGCAGGCGAACTTTCCCTCCGCATATGTTTAGCATTAATCCGCCCACGATCCTTTCTCGTGGCTCCAGCACCCAGGATGGCGCTGCTGCTGCTCCTGTGCGGCCTGGAAGGGCAGGCCAGCCGCGCCTGCAACGCCTGCGGACCAGAGTGCGTGACGGCCTGCGGGACAGCCATGTTCCGGGCCTGCTGCTTCAACTACAACCGCAAGAGGAGCGTCGATCAGCGCGACGCCCTGACGCCGGCACCGTTGGACGAAGCGGCCTTCGAGACGCCGGTCGATCCGCCGCAGCGCTCGTTGGATGCATGGACGCTGCTATGGGTTCCCAGGCGCGCAGCAGCCGCCATGCCAACCAACATCTTCTAAGAGCTTCGTCGGCTTACCAACACCTCTACTGGCCACACGGGCGGGTCTTCCACGGGCCTAGAAATGCTCCGCCTCGTCGAGCTGTTTAGCGTATTTTATTGCCAGGCAGATTGCAACCTTGTACACGTTGGAAAATAAACTTTGAACTTAGGTCTTAGTAAGTTCTGACTCAACGAAATTGGTTTGGGTGCCCACAGTTCACAATATGGTCGATAGGGGTTAGTTTCTTAGTGATCGTAACATTTGCACCGTCAGAAAATAGAAGCACCAAAATAAATACAAAAAATTTTCGCATGTCCAATTGAATTGTGTGTTAGGAATCGGGCAAGCGCCCGCAATTGCAGCTTCAACACGCAAGAATCAGTGACCTGGATTATGAAAGATGCTCTAGCGAGATATTGCGCTAAAATTCTGTCAACTTCCTCAAAAGCCTTCTTCGAATTGGTCGTGTTTACACATGAGTTATGTAATTACGGGTAAAATATTCTCAAAACTTTTATAGCTATGTTCATAGAAAACACGCGTCAAAAAAGTGAAACAAATCGCATTGGAAATACGAAAACGAAAATTTGTCTAACTGAAAGCGAAACAACGTTCTCTAAACGAGCATGATACTCTAAATTTTAACGTTAAGAGAGGTTACAAACCTGTCGCGAGAAACGTTTTCAATGATGCAGTTATGGAAGTGTGTCAGAATGCATAAGCGCGTTGTCATCTCGTGCCCCCCATAACACTAGTCTTCGTAGTCTTCTGTCATACCGTGTTAACACTTTTGGCACTTCAAATCGGGTAGCCTCCCTGAGCGTCCGAGGTGCAATCTGTGCGTTTTGAAACTGGTACTCAAAAATATTTTAGAACAACCGCTTCATTAAAGAAGGGTTGACATAAATGGAGATGCAGTTCATCAAATGTTTTTCGTGTTTTTGTGTCAGAACTGTAAACGATACATTTAAACATTCCGTGCAAAATATTATCGATATTCTTGAGCCACAGTTCCAAACGTCCTCCGAAGATTGCGATTTATATCTATGGACACTGTATGCTAATCCGTTAATAACCATGTTCTTTTTTTATGTTACGAAGTACAAAGGCTCTTCTATAATGCGACAGACTACAAACATGCCTGAGTTTTTGTTGTTTCTTGTAAACAGTGTCTAGGTACGAATTTTATGACGGGTCACTGTCAAATTCGACACCTAGGTACATTACATTTTCAGAATAATAGAAAGGGGCACACTTAGATAACAAACGCAATGAAAAATGTAGAAATATGGGCTTATTAAGCCTGGGTACTTTCAAGAGATTACGTAAGCAAACTAGACTCGTTTTCGAGTTGGTAAGCTTTAGGGCATTTAGTTCAAAGCAGCCAGTCAGGTGTTTTGTTTTATTTTGAAGAAGAGGGATGGCTTTCTCATATTCTATATAGCGTGATAATAGAACAGTATCGTCGGCATACTGGTAGAGTTCACAGACGAATATAGAGTTTTACCTAACATTCACAAATATATAGAAAAGTAATGGTGATAAAATGGAGCCTTGTGGAACTCCAGATTATTACGCGACTTGCGAACTCCGCGCGTTCCCTATGTAAACTTTTTGAGTGCATTCATCTAAATAACCTTTGAGTAGTTCCCAGGAACAGGCCGCGGAAGCTAGCGTGATGAAGGTTTTTCTTTGTAAAACAAATGGCGTGACTCACACAGTAAAATGCATTGGACACATTGACGAAGGGCGCACAGGCGAATTCAAATTTTTCAAAGCCATATTGCAACTCATCAGTAAATTCTTCAAGCAATGGTTGCGTTCCTTTCCCGCTGATAAATTCATATTGGTTGAAAGATATGACGCAAACATTATAAGGAAACTGACTAATAACTTGCAAAGTCAAGTCCAATTCGGGTGTTTTACGTGCCAAACCAACGACAGGCATCTGGCACGCCCCAGCGGAGGACTGAGGATTAATTTCTACCACCTAAAGATGTTTTGACGTGCAACCGAAAGCTCGGTTACACGGCGCCTTCTCCGCAATAAGCCTCTGTCAGATTGCGGGCACCTCGGCCGGGATTCGAACCCGCCATATGGTGATCCGTACGCCAGCGTTCTCGCCTCGGAGCCACCAAGGCGGCTAACTAATAACTTACAACAAATTTTTTTTTTAATATCTGACTTATACAAGGTAAAATCGAATTGGGCCGCTAAAATTTTATCTTCCGACGATCTCCTTTGTAAAGTGGCTTAACTTTTGCGTTCTTTAGGGTATTAGGAATTTTTTTCATCGGCTATAAAACCATTTAGCATGCGTACAATGACGTTTTTATGGAAGCACAAGTTCGATGGAGATCACTCACTTTTATATTATCAGCCCAAGGCGATTTCTGTGGCTTAAAATTAACAATACACTCATCAGTTCATTTCCTGCTAATTCAGAAAGGAAAGCTGAGTCCAATTTGCGCTTCTGCTTTAATTGAAAAGGTAACGTTACTCGGCAGAACGCTCAAAAACTTCGCAAATAATGTATTAAGCCTATCGGCAAGTGAATATGTAATTGTAGCAAATGTCTTTTTTAACGTCTCATCTACCGAATTTCTAGCATTTAAGTCACGAAGTTGGTTTTGCAAAGATCAAGTGTTTGCAGCATTAGGTTTCGAAAAACGGAAGTCGCCTTGAAAGTATTTCTTATGGGTGCCCCAACCAACTTATTTGCGCAATTATGAGCGACGCGAAATTCAGTTTTTAATTTTGTATTTCTAGGAGAATTCCTGAATTGCCTCCACAGTGAGGAACTGAAGGCGTTCAGCCAAGAGTATTCCTCGCGACGTTTGCTGCTTGTGATAGTCTTTTTAAACTTGTTAGTAAAATAAGTCCACATCTGTTAGAAAGTATTAGACGTCATTACAGGTCTCATTTAGTGTCAGGCTTTGCCAATAAAAAGCCAAACCCACATCGTCAGATCTTTTCTGATCTACGATTTCAACTTGCCTTCTTATTTGAGTTGCTTGTTCAATCACGTTAACGAGTCCATATTGATATCGCCTACTGGGCAAAATTTCTCGATAGATGATTGGCTAAGTAGCATTGTCTTTAGCTCCTCAAAGAAGTACACAAATTTGTCGAAGGCAGCCTATGAAACATCAAAAGTGGCCAGAAGCAGTGTGTGTTCCAAATGTTGAAGGGAAGTAACTCAGAGTTAGCAAACTCGTTACAGTAACTTCGCTCAGCTACACGTTCCTCACCAGTACTCCCGTACCACCCCCTTTTGACCGTTCACGTGTTCGAAACAAGCTTTAGTAACCGGACAGAAAAATTAGTCGCACAAGTTATTACCGATGTTAATTTCTATTATATCTAAAACATCAAACACTGCACGAGAATGCTAAACAAGTACCTTGAACTCATCCCAGCATTTCCTTAGATTCTTAATATTTATGTGCAATTACGCAAATGATTCTTGAGAATCAGTACATAAATATCGTCACAAATGACAAATGATGAGGCGGCGAAGAAATGAAAAAACTAAACTTTCAATAGGGCAAACTTGTGCTAAAAAAATAGAATTTATGCTTTCTTCAATTATTCCGCACCAATAGTTTTCACAAGGGAACAAGTAGTTACTCTTTACTTCGATATATCCAAAGCCTTTAATTTAGATAATCATGAACAATTGTTGCATTAGCCTCCTCCGCATGGCTTCAACCCACATCTATGTGTGCGGTTTAATAGTTACCTGAGTGATCGCCGTAACTCTGTTCATGTTCTTAGTACCTGCTCCGATGAGTTTAATCCAAGTTCTGGTGTACCGCAGGGCTCAATCTTGGGACCTATTGTGTTGTTTTTTTCCTGTTCATTAACGATATTGTTTCTTGTGTTAATGATGCAAGGATTTGTTTATTTTCTGACGATGTTAAGCTTTTTAGAAGTGTTTAGTCTGTGTCTGAGGATTCTCGTTTCAAGCTGGCATAAATTATATTTTTAAATGGTTTTCGGAAAACTTTTTTACTTAACCCTCAGAAGACGAAATTTATTGTGCTATCCATAGAAAGCGCGACACCATTCGCTTTTCTTGCACTCTTGGTGGCGTTCCCATTTCACCGGTTTCTTTCATCCGGGGCCTTGGCGTCTCTATCGCCCGTGCACTTCCTTTTAAAAGCCATATCCTTATAACCGTAAATACAGCGTTAAGATTGTTAGGCATGATTTGCACGATTATATTTTCAGTTTTCTTTTCATTCTTGTTTACTGCATCTGTTTCATACTTTAATTAAATCACGGTTCGAGTTTAGCTCTGCTATCTGGAATCCCCTGATTCTTACGCATACAGCTCTATTCAGAAATGTTCAGAAGCATATGATTAGAATTGTTTATGAGAAGTATGTTGGCAGATATTATTTTTATACTTATGAATCATTGCTTCGCCGGTTCTCACTGTATAAGCTGCCTGTGAAAAGACAGTAGAGAGATCTTATTTTTTTTTTTTACGAAAGGTAGTCAGCGGAAAGGTGTATTCGATGGATTTAGACCAGGCTATGTATTTCCCTGTACCGCACCACGTCAGCCGGAACGTGTCAACTTTTTACCCCTTGCATGTACTATGCATTACCTTACGCGAGTCTACAACTCGCTTTTAATTCTGTGCATGAAAATAACTTTAATATTATTATCTGTCATTGTGATTTCGTTTTGGACGTACGCGAATGCAGGTGTCTTCCTTTAAGCATGAGGATGCATGTGTACTCTTAGTTATCTACTTCTTGCGTTTCTTGTTGAATTGTATTAATGACCAGTATATTGCTGTATTTTATATGCATAGTATTTCACTTGTTTTGTGCACAACTCAATAGAGCGTTATGTTGCGTTGGAAGACAGGAAAAATAACGATTATTATTACTATTAATATTATGATTATTACTAGTAATAGTAATATTAAAAGTTTACTTTTAATATGATTTCTAAAAACAAAACTGTTTTAGTCAAGTTCGCGTTTGAAATTTTTTTTTATTTAAGGTTAAATTTATTTGCACTTGATGTGTTTTACAAGTTTTCAATAACTGTTCTAACAATAGTTTTCGCCCAGGTAGCACACCAGAAAAACGCCAAACTTCTC